GCCTCTATCAGGGGTTTCTCACTCAGAAATTTTGAACAAGTTGGGGGTCACCAGGTTACCCTCCAACTTGAGGGGGTATATTGGGAAGAAACCCCATCCTAATTTGGTATTCATGAATCCTTGCTCAAGGATACAGAAAGGATCCAACGATAAAGAAGAAGAAGAGTTCAGATGAAGAAGAAGAAGAGTTCGACATTTCCAGTGTCTGAGAATTGATGTCTGAAGATACAAGTTGAGTATATAGACATTAAAGTTGTTTGGGCCTATATTGTTATTTTGGGCTCATAATTCATTGGGCTCAATAAGCTGAAGATAAGATTAGTATTAGCAATTTTATATTTTCTGCATATATGGGTCACAGTCTGTACAGTTCATATCTAAGAGAGAATACACAAAAAATTTTCTTCATCTTCTCTATTTTCTTTCAAATTGACAATTAATTACTTTTTTGGTATGTCGGGTCCTCTGTAGAATTACGGGAAACTGAGTAGAAATATTTTAAAAAAAAAAAGAAGAAGTTCTCTATAAACTTATTTAATATGTGAATTTATTTAAACGGTTTACTGCAATCGTTTTGTTAGTAATTTGTTATTAGTACTACCACAAGCGTAATTAGGATTAAATCATTGGTGTTATATTTGTGCTAGTTAAAAAAAGCAAGCAAGCAATTGTGCTATTAGAGTTTTTTTTTATTTAGAAAAAATATTAACAAGGGCTGGAAACAAAAAAAAAAAAAAAATTCCCATCGGAGGGAGGGGGATCAGTTTTGATCACGCCCAACTATGCCTTATAAAAAGGACAATGCGGTCGTTGCAAATATAATCCGGTTTACAAGTCCGGAGTCGAATCCCACAGAGAACTAAGGTTTAGCTAAAGCTGTTCACTATCACCAAGAAGACAAGCTTGAACAATTCCTAACCTATAGATATTAAGATTCTTGTGTTTAACTACTTAACTAACAAATTAAAATAGTGAATTAACAACTAAAGATATTGAGGGTTAGAGAAAAGATTAAGGAGGTCTAGAGTTATGATTTTCCCTATTGTCGGAATCCTTCCCGCTATGTCTTCTATAATTTCGCCTAAGTATTCTCTACCGATCATGAGCACTCTTATTGCCGTAAATCTCTCCCGAGTAATTACGACAATTTACTAGACGCACAGCTCACTTCAGATCGCACCCAAGGCTTCGTTATCCCTAATCCCACCTTTAAACCCTCGGTTATTGATCCCTCATATACTCTGGGAGTGGTGTTGTTCAACAACTACCTAAATATGCACTCTCTCCCGAGTTATGCATACTAAATAGGCACAGCTAATTGAGAGCTCTTCAATCAACCAGAATATAAACGTAGTTCACAAATAGAGAAAAGCTATGGCTCAATTATATAAAAACATAACAAGAATTTATCCTACAAAAGGTTCTATCAAAACTCTAGATAACAAATTAGCTATTCATAATAGTATGTAAAACTACAATACTAAAAGTCATAACCAACAATGAAAAAGAATAGGAAGAGGAAGGAAAAAACTCGTAGAAGAATTCTCCGCCTTGCTCCCAATGTGTTCTTGCCTCCAAGGGTGTTGTCTAACCCTAAAGTAGTGTATCCTCGCCTCCTTAGGTCTAATTTGTGTCCAAAATATGTCCCCCTTCTTGTTCTTGGCCGGCCTCCTTTGTTTAATATAGGGTTTAGGACTTAAAATCCCATGTTTTGCACTTTAGTCCTTGAAATTTTCGCTCCCTGCCGCGGTTTTGCCGCGGTCGCGGTGGAACCGCGGCCAAACATGCCCTCTGATTCTTCAGTTGTCCGCGACCATCTTCTACCGCGGTTCTGCCGCGGTCGCGGCAAAATCGCGGTTTTTCACCCTGTTCCGTTTAGAATTTGGAAAAACGTAAAACATGAAAGTTGTAGCCCTTTGAGTTAGCTTTCCAACCATATATTGTGGAGCCCAAATGGAGTTCGGAGCAAAAAGTTATGTCTATTTTACTAGACAGTGCGCAATATGCCTCCTCAAGTCTTCGTTCGTACTTAATTATCAAATTTGACCCCGGAACACGATCCCGGCTTAATTCCTTGAGCTTTTACTCAGACTTCAAAGCTTCAAATCACTTAAATTCATTCCATAACATCTATATAGCTCGGAATCACACCTACAAGGCATAAAACACACAATTAGTGCAAAACACTAGCGATTAAAGCGCAAACTCAATTAAAGTGCAGTAAATTCGAGTGTAATAAGCGACTAAACTATGCAATTATAGCCTATCATCAAGTTTGACAATCAAAATGAAGATAAAAAAGTTGTAAAGAAAATTCTAACTCCAGTTCGAAATGGAGTATATGGTCTACAACTACAAACATAGATTTCAATGAAAATGAAATTTGGGCGTGTCCCACATCAAATATGATAAAAATTTCAGGATAGTATAAAAGAAATTATTAAATTTTGAATCACTTTTCAATGGATAAATCCATGTGACCTGATAATCAACCTCAGAAGCGTAAAATTGTTATCAATTTAATTATTTTTCGTATTTCTTTTGGTATTGATTGGAACTTGAAAAAAGTGCAAAACTCCATAACATGAACACCCCAAAAACAAGTATTAAAGGTGAAATCCAACGGAAATTCTAACATAGTCTAAAGGAGAAAAATAAAAATAAAATACAAATAAAAAGAAAGAAGGAAGAAAGAAAGAATCAGTAAAAAAATTGGTGTTGCTCAGTTAGCATTAGGCTAGATATCGAAAAGGGGTGTAATATTATTTATAAATTCAGTTGCATTGATTAAGAATTTAAGAAACATGTCAGGAATAAAATATTAAGTAACTGAGACTGCCATACGTGACAAGCACTTTTAGAATTATACTGGTCATATTAGACTATTTCATAAACGCTTAACAATATAAAGATAACAAAAATAGTAAAAACACCTTTCGTTGTAAAAAAATTGGTAACAAAAATTTACCGCTTAAGGAAAAAAATGTCAAAGTTGTGATGCATAAGAACATCGACAGTCTTCTGAAAATCTCATAAAACCAAATTATCGAGCCACTAATTTAGACAAAAATGCAATAAGTATTAATTTCAGTAAATAAAAGAAGTACACGGATGGAAATTTCCGAGAAGCTAGAAAAATGCAGGGTTACAATAAAAAGACTAACACTAACAAGTTTAACTTTTTCTAGTTAATTTATGTTTCGAACATGATAAATTAATATGATTTGATACTCTTATCTAGTATAAGGTTTTTCCATGAAAGTTAGTAATGACTTGAAAGTAGAATGAAAATAACAGCATTTTTTTTAGTAAAAAAGAAAATAGGAAGAATATTATGACAATTTGCAAACAATCTACAAGTGATATTAATCTGGGAATATTAAACTTTTACGTAAATAAAAGGTAACTAGAAAAAAAAAAGGAAACTGGAAAGCATCTTTGGCTTTAGTATGGTAAGTCTTGATAATTCTTTTCTAACATATCTACAAAAAATCACAAAAATCTAAGAACATGGGTTACGTAACAAACTAACTACTAAAAAATACTGGCTTACCAAATGTATATTTTTTAATTTGGTAACACATTATCCTTATATTCTTTTTCATAAATTTACAAAATCTTCAACATATATATATATATACCTATTTTTCCCCTTTTAAAGAAACTGTAAAAAAACTATAAGTAATAATGAGGGAAATGGTAAGAAGTAAGAACTTGGTCGTGAAAATTGTAGACCATTTATTACGGTAGGTTGCGACCTAACGGAATTGGACACTATTTACTACAATTCATTAAATGGGTTTGCCTAATAATATGACCTACATCTAACTTGTTTAATTCAACAAATGGATCCCACCTTTAAAAAAAAAAATTGTTCTACTTGTGGCAATTTTTTTGGACACTACATTTAACCAATTTTGTCAAACTTTTAAAAAATTTCTAGCTAGGGTCCCCTAAACCAACGTGGCTGCACTAGCACCATAGTCTAACCCAATTAACTTAATTAAAAGTTTGTAGCTTTTTTAAATAAATAAATATAGTAAGAAAAAGCGAACTAGCACACATTAATTTACCATTGGCAATTTACTTTTATTTTGCTAAGCTCTTAACAATTTTCGAGGGTGTTTTGGGAAAATCAAGACTATTAACCCGGATCGAAAAATCCCGGGATTACATCACACAAATCCCAGATCAATCATCAGGTGAAGCAATTAAAAATTAGTCCAGATTAGCATCAATTATTAAAATAAGGTCCAAATATTCAAGTTAGGGGTACTTTGGTCATTCCGTTATCCCCGCTCTCCAAAACCCCACCACACTCAACGTATTTAATTATTATTTTTTTTTTTTACTTGTTACTCTTTGATTTAGAAAGAGTGAAAGGAATTCTGTGTAAGATGGTCAAATCATTTCATATATTATTCAATTCGGCATCGATTTTAATGTTTTTAAGAAATTACAATTTCTTATAATTATAATATTTGAAATGTAAAAAATTATAGAACAAGTTAATTCGTAATATTGTTATGTAAACGGCATTGAAGAAATAATTTTTAATTTTTAAAAAATGGTCTATTAATTTTAACAAGTGTAGGGAAGAGCCACTGAAATCCAAAATGGCTAAAAAGCAAAGGTGACCTACATGGGCCGGCTTTTAACTATATTTAGCTGGACAGACAAAAACCAACTTATTATCTTCATCGTCGCTATCTGCAGCTGTAGCTAGCTTCTCTGCTTCTTTCTACTCATCTATCTTCCATTATTTATATAAAAAAAAAAATACACCCTTCTTTTTTATTTTTAGCTTTCTCCTACATATACATATACGTAAACCATTTTGAATTCCCACAATTATTTAAAGTTTGTTACCATGAGTGAAACCAAAGTGACCCTTCTAGTTTTATTGAAAAGAAAAACCATTTCTTGACAATAATAGAAGAGAAATCTGAAGATTCCATAGCTAAAAGAAGCAAAAGGGTGTTTTTTTAATATAAATATTTCTGGGTCTACCATTTTTATTTATGTATTTCTTGTATTTTAAGAGGTGTGAGATTGACAGGCAGATCCCACCGAAATAAATTAATAAATTCACCACACCCCCCCCATCTTCATAAAAACCCCTCAGAATTCACCATCTTTTTTTTCTTCTATTATTCATCAGCTGTAATTGCTGCACAGAACAGAAGAGAAGAGGAGGAGGGGGTTAATAAGAAGTAGTACTAGTAGAAATATAGTAGCAGTACTCCTCTCTTTTCTTTTTAGAAAAAAGAAAAAGAAAAAAAAAAGATGCTAGGAGTTTCTGGGATAATAAGCAGAACTAATTCAGGAGGTGGGGGAGAAAATCCAGAAAGCGGCGGCGGAGCAGGTAGTGGAGGAAGTAGTGAAATAGGTATAGGAGGTGGCGGAATTTCAATATCTGGTGGATTTATGACAGAAGAAGATAGAGCAATAAGAAATATGGAAGAAGGTGAGAGGAATTCAGGTGGTGGAAATAGATGGCCAAGACAAGAAACAATAGCTTTGCTGAAAATAAGGTCGGAGATGGACGTTGTTTTTCGAGATTCTAGTCTTAAAGGTCCCTTATGGGAAGAAGTTTCCAGGTACTATAATTAAATCATTTGTTGTTTCTTTCTTTATTGCTACTTCTTCTCTCATTCTCACCATCATCATCACTTTCATGATGCACTGAATTGATGGTAACAGAATCTTTTTTTCTTCCTCTTTTTGGGAAAAAAAAGAAATTAAAGAATGAGTAGTATTTATTTTTGGGAAATGAAAAGATAGATCTATGGATCAGAATTCCATTGAATTATTGCTTTTTGATTAAAAGGGTCATTGTTTTTTCAGTTCATTTCACTACAATACAGCAAATTTGAGGGAATTCAGATTCCCTCCGGGTTTTGGGCCAAATTCAGTTTTGCTTTTTTTTTTTTTTGGCGTTTTTCTCTGCCAATTCCCAGCAAGAAATTTTGGATACCAATCTATCTTTTCCAGTTCTATGAACTACTACCTTCTCTCCCTCCTCTCAAATTCAGCAAATAATTATAAGATATGATTTGTAATCAAAATCTTATATAAGTAAAAACAAGATTTATGTTGCACCATGATTTTATTCTCTTAATTGTCCATTGGAGAAAAAATGTGCTTAATTCTATAGTGTTCCAATAAATTCTTTCCACCTTCTGTTGTCTCTTTCAGTAACCTTGTTTAAAAGCTCTCAATTACCTTAATCTTGATTAGTGATTTCTTAATCTTCATGTTTATTTTATGTGGTAAAAAGTACTAGTACCAAATCGAAATTTGTTTTATTGATGAATACAATAATCAAGGTATTAAAAAATTGGAGTTTGGTTTTGGTTATTGTACTTTGTGTTTCTAATACTAATTTTCATCTTTTTGTTTCAATTTGCCAAATGTTTAGGAAAATGGCGGACCTCGGTTTCCATCGAAGTGCCAAGAAATGTAAAGAGAAATTCGAGAATGTTTACAAGTATCACAAGAGAACTAAAGATGGTCGAGCTTCTAAAGCAGATGGCAAAACTTATCGTTTTTTTGAACAATTAGAAGCTCTTGAAAACAACCCTTCTTCTCATCATTCTTTATTATTGCCACCACCAATTACTTCTTCTCGTCCCCCACCACCTCCATTGGAAGCTACTCCTATAAATATGGCCATGCCAATGCCATCTGGAAATGCTAATACCATAAATCTTCAACTCCCAGCTTCACAACAACAAGGTACTACTACTGTCACTGTTTCATCAGCGCCACCAAATAATAGTAATATTTTTGTGTCTTCTCATCAAAATACAATCTCTCACCAAAATATTCCGTTAAGCTCTTCCATGGCACCATCACCAATACCATCGCCACAACCAGCTAATAATCCGATAAATAATCTTCAACCAAATACAAATTTTCCATCCCATGATCAGAATATTTCAGCAATGTCGTATTCGACTTCTTCATCCACTTCCTCGGACGAGGATATACAAAGGCGGCATAAGAAGAAGAGGAAATGGAAGGATTTTTTTGAGAGGTTGATGAAGGATGTGATTGACAAACAAGAGGATTTGCAAAGAAGGTTTTTGGAGACATTAGAGAAACGAGAGCGTGACCGGATGGTACGAGAAGAAGCTTGGAGAGTACAAGAAGTGGCAAGAATGAATAGGGAACATGATCTTTTAGTCCAAGAAAGATCAATGGCAGCAGCTAAAGATGCAGCTGTTATTTCATTCTTGCAAAAGATAACCGAACAGCAAAACATCCAAATTCCAAGTAACATCAATGTTGCTCCTCCATCAGCACAAGTACAAATACAATTGCCCGAAAATCCACCACCTCCGCCAACACGTTCACAAGTAGTGCAGCAACAAACACAACCAACTGCAGTTCTAGTATCACCAGCGCCACCTCAACCATCACCCGCAACACCAGCTCCAATATCATTGCCGGTGACGATACCAACTCCTGTATCAGCACAGTCACTGCCACTAACACCGCCAGTACCAGCCAAGAACGTGGAATTAACACCGAAAAGTGATAATGGGGGTGAGGGTTATACTCCAGCAAGCTCTTCAAGATGGCCTAAAGCAGAAGTTGAAGCGTTAATTAAGCTACGAACACAGCTAGATGTTAAGTACCAAGAAAACGGACCAAAAGGGCCGCTGTGGGAGGAGATATCAGCTGGAATGAAGAAATTTGGATACAACAGGAATGCCAAGAGATGCAAAGAGAAATGGGAGAATATCAACAAGTACTTCAAGAAAGTGAAGGAGAGTAACAAGAAGAGACCAGAAGATTCCAAGACTTGCCCATATTTCCACCAGCTCGACGCATTGTACAAGGAGAAAGCTAAGAACGAAACTTCATCTTCTTCATTCAGTAATCCATCAGCAAGTGGGTTTGCATTAAACCCGGAAAACAACCCAATGATGCCGATCATGGCTCGTCCAGAACAACAATGGCCGCTTCCGCCACATCATCAACAACCACAACAACACCATGAAAGTACCCGAATGGATCACGACCACGAGAGTGATAACATGGATCAAGACGAGGATGATGAAGACGAGGAAGACGAGGATGAGGAAAATGCGTATGAGATAGTGGCAAACAAACAGCAATCATCAATGGCAGCAGCCAACACAACAACCACCACCACAGCTACTGCTACAACGACAGTTTGAGCGAGCTTAGCACAGATCTCAAATGGAGAAAGAGAAGAGAAGTGAAGAGGGGGGCAAAAAGAGCGGAATTTTTAAAAACAAATGTGGGTAAGTGACTGAACATTGGGAATAGCAAGTGGGTCAACAGATTCTTGCAGGAAAGTGTCAGATTGGATCAGATCTCAGAAAATTCCGGTTGGTATGAGAAGACGGTCACTCTGAAAAATAGCTCATTTGGAGGAAAAGGTGAACAAATTGACACATCATTTCATTTTTTCTTTTTTGTTGAAACTCTTTTTTCTTTTTTTCTTTTTCTTTTAATTTTGAGTTGGGGATGTTGGTAACGGGGTATAGTGTAGTTTTTGGTGGTATAAGCTTATTTGCACTTCCATTGTTTATTTATTGATTATCAAAATAAAGTTTATTGAGGGAAGGGGAGGGAAGAGAAAAAGGGACATAAAGGGAGATTTTTAAAGGAATAAAATGAAGGGACAAAGTCTGTAATTTTTTTTTACGTCTTTTTTCTTTTATAAATTTCCTTTTTGTTCATGGGTGTAAATGTGGAAATAGTTAAGTAGAGTTACATTCTTATTCTCTTTTTCATTAAATCTACTTGGAAAATAGTTACTCAATTCATCTTTTTAAATTCTTTTGTTATGTCAAGTAGTATGGTTTGATAATCTTGTAGAATGTATTGAAGATCAAATTTTTTCTTCTTCCAGCAAAACAAGCACATACAGAAAATTTCACGTACACCAATTTGTGAGGCAACATTTTACCCCAAGTTGCAAAACAGCTACTAGTAGATTTTTTTACTTTGATTCCCTCATAGAACGAAAGAAGAAAGAGGAATAAACATAACAACAAATGGGTCCTTGTTGCACATGATATCTAGTAAATGTTAGTAGTATTATTTTTTCAATTTTTTTTTTAGAACTTCTTTTTTTTTTGTTTGTATTAATTCTACAACTATCACATCTCTGATTATATTTTTAAAATAGTTTTTGTTTTACTCTTACACAAAAGATCAGTGAGTAAAAGTCATCGGAACTAATTCCCATGATCAATGATGTATAAGTTTGGACAAATAGTTTTTTTTAAAATAAAATCTTTCCCTAGTGCTAACCGGTTCGATAAGGACTGAAGTATGCTAGAAAGTATCTTGTATAGAGTTTAAGTTATATATGTGAATGATGTAAAAAAAATTATACAGTTAAATACTTGTAAGTAAATTTTTATGATAATATTTATTTTTAACCTGATAAAACAATAATAAGTTAAAAAATACATTTGTAGCATAAAATAACTTTGTAAGGTAAATTCTTCAATATAAGAAAAATGGGGCCCTCAAGCAATAATAATGCAGCAATACTATATGGAGTGGGGTCATACAAACTACAAAGAAGGGGTTCGAAAAACTTCAAATCATTATAAGTGAAATGTGCATTATTTTCATTCAAGTGTTGACTTTTCACATAGCCCACAAAATATAATGGTTATTCATGTAAGGAAAGAATAATGATGATATACATATGGATGGTGTAAAAAAAAGAAGAAGATAATTATTGATAAGTAGTGTAGCTAGCTAGTTCATGGAGATGCCTTTTGTTCCTCTTCTCACATGATGTGTAGGGTTAAAGGTATAGTAGTTGATATATTCCTGCTTTCTTGTTTCATAAATTCAGTATTTTTTTTCGTTTCAATCCAGTTAAGCATGGTGTCTAAAATCCATTTCTCAATGATCATATATCTTGCCAATCTACAACTAAACAAAAGAAAATGAATAACTTGCAATATAATTTCTTAGTAAGGAAAAACAATAACCCACAACGAAAACAAAAAGATAATTTTTTATATATTTGTATAATATGACCTTTTCTAATGTAAGGAAATAATCAACTTTGTAATTGTCTGGGTCTAAACTTAATTCCGGAATGTAAGAGATATGTAAAACAGTGGAATGGTCATATATATGACTGAATGAAATTAAGCACTGGGACAAATCGAGTTTCAAATATTATATTAATTACCACTTGGAATTTCCTTTCCTAAATCATACAGCAGCCCTAGAAAGTCACATTCAACAGCAATCTCTTCAGCTATGATTTGATATATATATATATATATATATATATATATATATATATATATATATATATATATATATATATATATATATATATATATATATGATGTCCAGTAACTATATATGTAATTTCAACAAATAGTTAACTTGTATTTGTAAAAATGTGGATGTGCCCGCCAAAAATCTTATTATGTATTACTAATTGAAATGTGTAAGATCGACTTTAGTTCAATATATATATATATATATATATATATATATATATATATAGAACTCAAAATTGATACTCTCCTTAACCACCCCCTCCTCCCCTCACCCCAATTAATCCATTTTGTGCAGTGGGTCCAGAAAATGGGAGTTCAAGATGAATAGTAATATATATATATATATATGACGACAAAAATAAATTAATTATTCTACTGTATACTAAACAGTTAACAATAGTAAAGAAGGGAGTAGTACCGACAAATTTGATAGAGTGATAAGTATTCTTTTATTTTAATCAGATATTTTATTTTTAATCAGTATGAAATCATCATTGCTAAAAAAAAAAAGAAAGAAGTAAAACTGGAAATTAATAGTAAATTAGTAGTAATACAGTAGTAGTAGTGTTAAAAGAAGAGGAGCACATGAGAAAGGGGCACACATGCAAAGAGCTGACAGCAGCAGCAGCTATTGTTGCTTTTATATTTAAAGTCTCATCTTCTCCTCTTTTTTGAACTTTTCTCACACACTCAATATAATGTATCTCTCTCTCTCTCTCATCATTTCTAAACCTTCAATACAGTTTTACTAACAATTCCTTTCTGGACAAAATGAATGAAACTTCTAAAGTATAATTTTTCTCTCTCTCTCAAAGAAATAACCAACCCATATCAGATCTCTCTCTTTTTTTTTTTTTTAATTACTTGTCAGAAAGTCCTTTTGTAGTAGTAGTAGTAATCAGTTTTCTTGGGGCCCACGTGGCCCCACCACACTCCAAAGGAATCTCATCTATTCTAAGTAGTACTGCTTACTCCCGCTGTTCCAGTTTAGCGAACCTATTTCCTTTTTGGTCCGTTGTAAAAAATATGACTCATTTCTAAATTTGGTAATAATTTAGCTTTAACTTACAATTCTACCCTTAACGAGAAGCTTTTATAACCACACATATACTTTGGGCCCCTTTTTGACTAGTTTAGGATCACAAATTCCAAAAGTTTTCATTTTTTCTTAAACTCCGTGCCCAGTCAAACAGGTTCACATAATTAAGATACAGCAAGGGATTGTAATAAAGTACATATATATTCTGGCATATTTTATTTTCTTTCAAAAATACTTCTCTATCTAATAGCTCCACAATTCACAAGAGGTATATATGTTTTCAAAAGTTACCTCATTCAAATGGGAGTGTTCGTACAATTCTCCTTGATTAATCTGAAACTGGTTAAGTAATAAAGAGTAATGTAAATTTCAATTTGCAAATTAACGTATGTATTTGAGTAGAGTAATAACGTATCACAAGTAAAACATTAACATCTGCAGAATGAATTCGAGATTTAAATTTAAGGGGTTCAGGATTATTGGACACAAGATTAATTTAATTCAAATGGAATATATAAAATGGATGTGTTTTGTATATATTTATTGAGAACTAGAGCTGCAAGATTTTTCCTTTGCTGCTACTAACAGTATTAAAGCTGACGATCATCAAAACCAGAAATATACTTTCGGCTTTATGACGTCTTACATGCAAATGGAGTTGAAATATGTAGTACTAAATTTAGATACTAACAAAGAAAAATAAGCAAAAGAGAACTTTGCAGAAGCTCAAAACCCAACGTAAGTTGACGCTATTTTTTTTGTTAGTCAGCTCTATTAATTTAGCTTTCCATTAATAGACATAAAGCTTTGTTTGGGAATACTAATGAAAGGCATTTTTTGAAATTCTCTCATTCATTCTAATTTGACTTGGAGACTCATGTTATTTTTGAATTTCAATTCATTTGGATAAATACAAGAGCTCATGTCTCCATCAATAAGAAAAAGGAGTACTATTTCTAAGTCAAACGTTCAAGTTTATAAATATTTTTTTTGTTATATAAAAATACTAAATTAGAGTATGTATTAAACATGTTTTGAGTTATAATTATATATGCAGATAACATTTAGTGCATGAATTCCTATTGAACCAAAAAATAATCCATTGTGACCCAAATTTGAGATGTTGAACCAAAAAAAAAAAACAACTGTTTGATGATGTGGCATTATTGCTGGTAGTTTTCACACTTCTCTTGTAGCTTCGCATTCCTAGTTCCTTTGCTATTACAGGCCGTGCCATTTGTTTCTGCTACCTTATTTCCTTGCCATTGTTACTGTTTGTTTATTATCTTTTTTTTTTTTTAATATTTCTAAGCCGATGGTCTATCCGAAACAACCTCTCTTCCTTCGTAAGGTAGGGATAAGGTCTGCATCCACATTACATTCCTCAGATCCCACTGAGTAGAATTGCATTGGGTTTGTTGTTGTAGTTGTTGGGTAAGAGGAATCTACAAGAGAGTAAGACGGGTGTTTGATGCAAATTAAGTGCAGTAAAATAATGGGGGACCTTAATTAGTACAAATATGATGTGTTGGAGGTACCAAATTCAGTTAAATGTACGAAGGCATCTTTAGTTACTCCACTTTTTCAAAAAAATTCACACACTGCCAAGCAACTGGTACTGCCTAATGCCTACTGCACTTTTATAATTTTGGTACCAGAATTTAAGGTTGATTTTTTCTTTTTGAGTACTTGACAGAATTTGAGGTTGATTTCTTCTTCTTTTTCACTACTTAAATTTACAACTTTGGCTTTACTAATGACGAGACATGACATCTTGCCTTTCTAGGTGAAGCCTTCTATACTTTATAAGCGGTGGCTTATCAAGAGAAATTAAATAATAAAAAAATAAATACACAAAAAAGTTAAGGAAATTTAATATTTAATATATTTATATGAAGAAAATCTTAAATACATAGTGTAATTTTCAGACAAAGAAGGTTCAGCTCAACCCAGACTTATCTCCGCTCCTGTTTATAAGGGCAACTCGTTCACTATATATAACATGACATAACTTTTAAGTGAGTCGACAATCAAATTGAGATCAAAATGAAAATATAACTTCACAGGTTTCAAAATTAATAAGCTCCTTTTAAGTGAGTGCACTATCAACCCTGAACAAAAATCAACAAATAATATCAAACATTTTACAATAACTCGGTCTGTTCCATTTATATGATTCCTTATATGTATATATGCCTCTCTACGCTTGTTACAATGTTTAAATGTTAAATTCTCAAAAGGAAACTTGTTCAATTTACAAACTATTTTGACTAAAGCTCTTAAAATTGACCTAAATCCCTCCTACATGTGTTGCATTATTTATAAAGATAAAAAGGAGACAAAAAGCATGAAGCGTTTATTAACAGACAAATCATTAG